TTTGTTTACAAAGTGATAACCAAAATCATGGCTGAACGGCTCGCTAGTCTGCTCTCTCAGATCATCATGGAGGGTCGGAATGCGTTTATAAGAGACCGGCAGATTATTGATAACATCCTTATAGGACATGAGTTAATGCATTATCTAAAAATAAAGAAGCAAGGGAAGAAGGGGTACATGGCTCGGAAGGTTGACATGGAAAAAGCCTATGATAGAGTCGAATGGCTCTTCCTTCTAGCGGTTTTGGACAAAATGGGTTTTAACTCTGTCTGGCAAGGATGGATACATGTGTGTCTTCGTTTCTCCTCATTCTCGGTTCTAATGAATGGTACACCCTCGGGTTATTTCACTGCCTCTAGGGGGCTCTCCAGGGGGATCCGCTCTCTCCCCCTTGTTTGTGCTTTGCACGGAGGGGTTTGCGGCCCTCCTCCAGACGGTGATCTCAGAGAAGAAACTAGAAGGGGTGAAGGTGGCGCCTCGTGCTCCAAGAATCTCTCATTTGTTCTTCGCGGATGATTCTTATTTATTCCTGCGAGGTTCTCTTCAGGAGTGCGAGAACTTAATTGTGATTCTGAATGAATATGAGGAACTGAGTGGCCAACGGGTTAATCTGGAGAAATCTGCGGTGTGCTTTAGCAAAAATATTGCCCTGCCAGATCAGGATTTCTTGGCCCCAATCCTAGGGGTTGGTGTAGTGGGGGTCCATGATAAATATCTGGGGTTACCCATGCTGGTTGCCAGATCCAAAATGGCCACGTTCAGATATTTGGAGGAGAAACTAATAGAGCGACTTCAGGGGTGGAAGCAACGGTCGTTGTCCTGGGCGGCTAAGGAAACATTGATTAAATCCATAGCGTTGGCCCTACCCTTGCACGTTATGTCATGTTTCCGTCTTCCCCTCTCTCTTTGTCGACTACTTGATAGACATGTGGCCCGTTTCTGGTGTGGTGCTGAGGAGGGCCATCCTAAGGTTAGATGGGTGTACTGGCGTAATATGTGCAGGAATAAACATGATGGGGGGATGGGATTTTGCCAGTTTGAACATTTTAACCAAGCTCTTTTAGCTAAGATTGGCTGGCGTATTCTCAATGAACCTCATTCCCTCCTTGCCCAGGTTTATAAAGGGAAGTACTTCCCTCAAGGTTCATTCATGAGCGCGACGGCTAGATCACGCCCCTCATGGGGGTGGCAGAGTATCCTCTATGGGCGACAGTTATTGGAGATGGGTTTAAGATGGCAGGTTGGCAATGGCCAATCGGTCTCTCTTCTCCACTCTAACTGGATTCCTGGATACCAGCTCGATCCCCCTTACTATAATCCGCTGATCTTGCCAAGTGGGGGTGATTCCTTGGTGGTGGAGGTTATTTGTGAAGGGGAAGACCAGTGTTCTGATGCTAAGCTTAGTCTATGGTTTGACCCGCCTACCTGCAGCGCCATTAAGGCTATTCCACTTTCGCGGCGGAATGTGGCCAATAAACTTATCTGGTATAACACGGCTTACGGGGTTTTCTCAGTAAAGTCGGCTTATCATCTGGCTATAGATTTGGACAGTAGGAGGGGTGGGTGGCGATCCTCGGCTAGTTGGATGGATAAGCCAAGTTGGATCAGGGTGTGGGAAGCTAAGATCCCTCCGAAGCTGAAGGTCTTTGTCTGGAAAATTCTTAATCGGGCTCTACCAACTACGGAGGCGCTTATTGAGAAAAGGTTCCTGTGCTGCCCCGGTGTCCAGTTTGCTGGGATATCCCGAAGACGATGGAACATCTGTTTCTTTATTGTCCGGTTACATGGGCTCTCTGGGACTATTCAGGGCTGGAATACTTGGGGGAGGGTTTTCCTCGGCACACCTTTCCATTATTCCTCAAACGTCTGATGGCGCTGATCCATGACCCGTCGTTGGTTATGGCTGTTGTTGCCATCCTTTGGCGGATCTGGTGGTCTCGTAGTTGGGTTGTCTTTGAAGGCAAACAGTTTGGGATCTCGGCGCTCATGCGACAATTTAGCCAACAGTATGAGGAATGGGTGGGCTTGCCAACAGATCAGGTGCCTAGCGTGACGTGTCCGTTGGTTCAGCCAGCAAATCCAGTGGGAGACTCACGGTTGGTTTGCCTGTGGGATGGGGCCACCTAAGAGTGGGTTGCATTCGGCTGGTGGGATGGTCATTCTAACCCCGGAGCGGATGCTACTTCTGGTGAAAGAGGTTCAGTTTCCTCAAATGGATGAGCTTGCAGTGGTGGAATTGCTTGTGCTTCGGGAGGCAATTATTTGGTGTTTGGAGTGTGGCTTGTCGGAGGTCCGGTTCGAGGGGGATGCCAAGGTGATTATTGATAAAATTATTCAAGCCGACACAAGGGATAACCGGTTGGGTGCTCTCCTGGAAGAGATAGGTCAATATTTTCGCGCCCAGTCTGGGTTTAGTGTGCGATTTATAGGTCGGGAGAACATTATGGTAGCTCGTTCGGTAGCTAGAAAAGCCCTCTCTTTGTATCCGACTATGTGTCGCTTCTTTGATTTCCGGGCCTGGCTGGTTTCCAGGATGTAACTATCTATTTCTTTTTGATCAATTTATGATATCTTTTGACAAAAAAAAATAGACATTACCCTTTAATATAAAAAATACCTAAGACATTGATTTTTCATTGAAATTTCAAGAAACAAACTATGACGTTATTCAAAAAGTTAAATTATTCAAAAAAATGAAGTCCTCGCCTATATATAACTTAATTGTAGCAAACAGTTTATATAATAAAAGTAAAATCTTAAGCTACTTGATTAAAACTGTATATAATTCAAACAAAACGAGATAATAAGATGGGTTGGATATCCATGTATGTCCCCTCTACAGAAGGAATAATACCAATTACCAACCCAAACAAAATCATACATATTGAATAAGACGAATTAACTCCAAATTTTCATCTTTGTGTCTTATCATTAGTTAGGGGTCTTCAAATGGTTATTACCAAACCAAGTAAGGCTAAATTTCATTAACCATGGAATACAATATCATAACCAAACCGTCCAAGCTAATACAACAACCAAATTAACCAAACTAAAGTTTAATCGGTTTGGTTAATTGGTTAACCAGATTAACCAATATAAAATCACATTATCATTAAATGAAAAAAGTTTTCGGTTAATTTATCAATTCACAATTTATATAATGAATAAAACATAACAATCAACACATAGTTATATTTGACCCTTAACATAAATACATGCAACTAAGACAATTATCTTACGGTTAGTATAGAAGTATTCACCTAACAAAAATTTATCACAATGGTATGGGTTAATGAATTGTTGTGTTTGTTTGAATTGACTTAGTCTTTTAGCAATTTCATAGGCTGAAAAGGACCTTGCTTTCAAGTTTTCATCCAACATAATGTATGAGATTTATTTAAACTAGGCGTTCATATGCTGTGGTCTACACTCTACATATACAAATATACATTATAGGAACAATATCAAGCTTTATATTTTATGAGTCTAAAAGGGATGAACGTTTAACTCTTGAGTGGTTATTCAAAGTATTAAGTATGTGTATATGTTAGATATATGACTAATTATTTATCTGGTTAATTTGGTTTGGCTGGTTAGGAGTGTCTGAAACCAAACCAAACCACCTAAACCAAACAAGCTAAGAACTTTAACCAAACCAAACCAGTTATCCAAATTAACCAAACCAAATTATCCAAATAGTACTGGTTAAAACCATTACCATGGTAACCACGCCGTTTGAACACCCCTATCATTAGTGAGTGACAGACATATCAATTACATGTCACTCCCCTTCATGTAGGATTCTCCTACAAGGGATTATGGCAACATAGAGAGACAGTTATTGCCTACTAATAACCTTTTTTGTTTTTTTTTTTTTTTCTATTTCATTTTTTATACTTATACATTTAATAGTCAAAACTTTCATTGCGTGCAAAATAACAGTCAAATCTAAGAGATAGATAGGTTGCTGAAGTGAGAGAGTAATTCATTGTGTAATACAATTTAATAGTAAAATATTTCTTTTTCTTAAGAAAATAAGCTCTATCCACTAGAACACCACAACTATAAAAATGCAATTTCTATCCTCAAGTATTCGATATGACAATTCTAATTTAATTTAATGAAATTTATCGGGTTTCATATTTCGATTTGAAGCAGGAGCGCCCTTACTATGTCATATTAGTTAACTTTAATTGTCTCTAATTTTCTTTTTCTCCCCTTCAAAATTTTCCTCTACCGGGTAAAATTTGTTGTTTCGAGCGATCTCACGCACTGCATAAGGTCTCGATAAAAATCAGATACATAAACTGAACATAATAGACATTGTTCAAGTCCCAGAGCAGTGGCGGAGCCAGGAGTTAAATTTAGTTGTCTTTTTTAAAATACAAATATTTGATACATATAATTAAATAATAATCATATCCAAGTAATGCATTCATAGAAAAAAGAAATAGCCAACTAATATAATTATCATATTCATAAAAAATCATGACGTTGAAGACATGTAAAATATATTCATTGTCTGGCAGAATACGAGTAAGTGAGAAGAAGAGAGACTGATTAGGAATCTGATGTAATTGGAGATCTAGCTTAACATCATAAATATATTCTATGACAAGATGCTCTTATGTGAATTTAGAGGTGTGGAGTTTGATCCTCTATATTTGAATACTTTGGGATTGGTTATATTTTTACTCAAAACTAGGTTTGTTGTGTGACACAGCTAAACTAGCCGGCCTCCTTCTATGTGCCAGAGTGATCCTTATTTTCATCCTTTTTATGATGTAGATATACTACTATTTTGTATGGTCATTCAAACTTAAATAAAAGAAAATTAAAATTTGATTCATGAACACAACCAAAGCCTATTAACCGGTCCAGTCAACCCAAATAGGCTCAAGGTCCTTAGCTTCCCCTGAATTACCTAGCTACCAAAATTAATCTAGCGATTAGTCAAGCCTATCTCGATCAAACAATAGTCAAGTCATAATTCTCTCTAAGCCATAAATAAAGAATACCATTAAAGAAGCCACCATCAAGAATTGATTCCAATTACAAAGGAACAAACATTGTGGCTTACAGTCTTCACCATAGAAAAAAATGAATTTTAAACATTGGCTTCGGTAATCAATTAGCCACGTAATAATCGGCTTTAAGATGAGGTATTAGGAACAAAATAAATAAATAAATAAATAAAAGGCCTATACAAATACTTGTAAAACTAACACTGATGAAAGGCATTAAGAACCTTGAAAATTGCTCCAATTCTGAGCCACAATTTCATATAGCTACATATACCTTAATTAATTATGCCTTGTAATGAGCAGATAACCCTGATTCAAGTTCTCATTAGTCTTCTTTCGATGAGACACTAGAGTATTCAACCTCATTTTTGGATGAAGTTACCTCTGATGAACCTGTTGATGACACGATCTTATTAGCTTCACCCTCGAAGTTCTTTGTTGGGTCTCCTCCGGGTGGATTATCTGCAGCAGCAGCAGCTTGTGCTGCTGCTTTCTGGCCTTCCTCTGCTAGTCTTCTCACAATATTCATCACAGTTGGAAGGAATTTTGCAGACAACGCAATGAGACCAGGTAGCTATAAAAAGCAGAAATACAACAAATTAATCAAAGTTTCAATGAGACATATTCTTAACTTCTTTCAAACGTTACTGCATTTTACTTTAATCACTCTGTAATCAATATCCAATGCTAACTTCAGAAGAAAATAGCAAGAAGATTATGGTCTTAAAAACACTTCATGAGAGCTTGATACTTACAGCACCATGTTGGAATTCACCCGCAACATCCATTTGCACCCATAAGGCTTTAACAAGTAGAAACCCGACAAATATAAAAGCCAGGTAAAATGGATTTCTGAAATTAAAAAAGCAAGCATAAGATAAAATGAGTCACTAAAAGGAAATAATTATAGTTAGTTGTAAAAGAAGCTCGCAAAGTTGAAAAAAGTACCTCAAAAGTGTCATAAATTCATTAAAGCCTAGAATAATCAAGGCTACAATGGCCCATGGAGGTGGTAACCAATTGTTATTACGTTTGTTTGCTTCCTGCAAATTAACATTATAATGCATTCATATCAGTGCATATTAAAAGTGAAATTCATACCCAAGAAAATTGAATTGGACAGCATTCATTATGAAACATTTATATAAAGCATTATTGTCACAAAATCCTATCATTGGATTTCCTTTGTGGTTATATACCAAATTGTAATATCATATATAGGTTAGCTAGTAAGTAAACGTATTTTTCACACTACAACATTATGTAATGTCTGTGTTGCAAGGTCTTAATGGTCTAAAGCCTTGTCCTTGAGTTAAAGAAGTATGCATGTAATATTATATAGAGAAGAAGTTCATACCTGGGCGGAGATGGCCTGAGTCACACTGTATTCTGTTTCTGCTTTGAATTGTCTCCACACAGATTTACACTGAACTGGTGTGATCAATGTTCTTGACGATGGAATCTGTAGTCATACAACCAAAACAAAGTGTCAATTGGAAAGTCACTACAAGGACATGGAATGCTAACTAAAACAAAGTTTCCCTATTTTAAAAGCATACCTCTTCCCAAGTGCTTGAGGCCAAAGGGTCAGCCGTTGTGGCGGTGCTTTTGTCAGTAATGGCAGGAGTACTAGTGGGTTCCAATAAACAAGAGGATAGTGTTTTCTCGATGGTATCGGGATTATTGTCTAACCGAATCGCGGCCATCACTGATAAGATCTTCAAGGACTAGCAAAATATTACAATATAACTAAATTCGGTTAGAGAAAAAGAAGAGGGGGGGGGGGAGTATTCATGTTCAACCTCTAGAAAAAAAATAAAGAGCTCTTACAGCAAAGCGAGCAGTTTTGGTAATTGTTCGAATATCTTCATTTCCAGTCCAAACTCGAGGCATGGAATCGGAATCATGACTAAATAACATCGAAAACCTGTACGTATGAAGATAATTGATAGTTATTAATTACCAATGAGGTGGAAATTTTATAGATAACATCAAAAGAAAAGGATGAATTGAAAAACTTTCAAGGTTGTTGACCTGTCTTTCATCCTTATAAGGACTCGAGCAGCTTCCTCTTTTGCTTTGGATTCCACAACACCTTTTGCATGATTTTCCAAGTTTTTAAGCATCTCTTCTTTGTATTTTTCATCCATGTCAAAGCCTTTGAGGTCATAGGACATCTCTGAAACAGCTGAGTCAGACTCACGTTTCAACAATTTTCTTATTGACGACCAAGTCTCGTGATTAGCTCCATCTAAGAGAGCTTCCACAGGTGCTGATAATGCATGGTTTAGTTTTGTCTGCAACATTCACAACATAAAGTACAGTTGGGGAGGTCAATGATTGCACATGCATTACACTGGAATAAAATGTTGTAGCGTTAAGTTTCACTTCGAATAATTTAAGTTATTGGAATGAATTCGTAATGGATATGGTATGAAACACTGGATGATTGAGTGGTCTTGTTTTCATATATAAAAATCACAATATTAATTGTTGATTGGAACATAAAGTATCATGAATATATGCAAACTTCTAGTCCAATGGGACTTCTTCTTAGAGGAATGTATAAAGGACTTGTGTATATCTAGTTTTGAACCTTTACAGCAACACTAGTTATAAGGATAAACTGATTCTCCTACCTAACTATATGCAAACTTTGATCTTCAACCATCCACAAATTTCATTCATGAACTCTACTTCAAGTTTGAACCTCATGGAACTCTTAAACATTTCAACTTATCAAAAAATAAGTACTGGAACTAATGATACCTCAAATGAGGTTGTAAGCTCAGACAGTTTCGCAGCCCGAACAGTAGTAATGTGTGCATCAATGTCACGTCGAAGCTTCTCTTTAACTTTAGAGGCATCCCAATTTGCTTGATGAATAACAGCATCTGTCATCAAGTCACATCCAAAACATGTTTGGTCACACATGTTTATAGTTATTGTTCCTCTACAAGAAAATCGGGGAAATATTTTTTGGACTCATGGAGTCAAAATAACATCAATGACACAATAATCAGACATATTATAATACTACCTGCACATCCTTCTTCAAATTGAGCCATGAATGACTCAGCACAAGTAGTTGCAGCCAGTGAAAATCCTTCTCCAGCATTGAGAGCCTTTTCAAATGCGTCCTTGAATTTCTCAAAGGTTACAGACCTTAGATGTCCCAATATAGTTTGGTATGCTGGTTGTACAAGCTACATCATTATAAGAGACAAATTTAGAAACCATATCGAAGGATTAACTGCACATGTCATGTTCTCTTCTTAGCCCAAGCAAACGATTTAAGAGAAACAATTTTGGGTTACAAATCATTATCATGGATTATGATATTTTCTGGATCATTGCAAGTCAGCCCATTCAAGAACATGGGTCATTAGAGGTTAGATTAATTCTGGTTATGAATTATACGTACCATATTCAAATCTTGATCCTAGTACTACATATATGACAATTAGATCGACTCAGGTGGTTTCAAGGTTGGTCATTTCAGCTTACAAGTCATTTTAAATTAAATCATTTCAATTAGTGGATCAATGAATTTCATATTAGTTCAAATTAGGATCACACGATTAAAATAAATTTAATTTGAACAAATTCATGTATTGAGTTCCATTCTAGCCATGAATTACCACATGTTTCTCTAATGCAACAAAACAATGAAAAACTAATTACTTGTAACAATTTTTCTTCAAGTTGCTTCCGCTTTGAAGATCGAACTCCTTCATCGAAATATGTTGCTTCACTATCATACCTATATTGGAATGCACAATCAAAACAAACAACCAATATTCTAAAAATCATGAAACAAAATTTAATACAAAAGACACAATGAATATACAAAAAGGAATGTATTTTACCATTTTTCAAATGTGAATACACTTACTCTGTTAAGCAAATGTTCAGGATTGAACTTAGCTTCTTCCCAAAGCCCGGAACAAAACCACTTTGTACGGCCTCGTCCATTGCACACCATTCCTTCCAGTATCAAAGACCAATTTAACATAAGAACATATGTAACTCTATAAATTTTCAAAAACAGGAATAGAACAAGAAGCGGCGCATTGGCTATTTACAGGATTTGCACCAAATTCAGCATACTTCTCATTGGCGATTTCTTCACAGCGCACAGTGGCAACCATAACCTAGGAAACAATATTTCCTAGTGACATTAGGTAAAAGAAATACCAAGAAATCAGTTGGCTAATTTTCCATACGATAAAAAAGAAAAGTACCTTATGTGCAGGAAGATCAAGGTCTTTGTTCTCTTTGATAATTTTCCATATTTCTTGTGAACTGAAAGAGAAACCTGAAGCAGGTACTGCACCTCGTCGATCACCAGCAAGTCCACCAGGTGCAATGGAATGAAAGAATCTTTGCCTCAAATTAGCGACCTATTTTCACCAAGATCATGTAACAGGAATTTTGTAACACTTTAAATTTGACCACCTAAAGAAGTCCCTATCAAATAGCCAGATAAAAAGTAAAACTAGGAATGTCACTTTTCACTGACCTGCTCTCTAAACTGCTCTTCCTTTTCTTCATAACTTGAAAGAGCAACAACCTCAACCTGACCAATGACAATAAATCAAGACATTGTTTTGTTACAATATATACAAATGCTCTAAAGAATTTAAACCTAGGGAAAATTATGTTTTGTGAATGATCGGAATACATAGTGTGCTCTTACATTAAAAAACTCACTAAGAGGAGTTGACAAATGAGCCTGTGGCTTTGGAACAGAGTCCCATATCTGGAAGGGAGAAAATGGTCAGAGAGGCTAGCCACACATGAAATATAGAAGTTAAAAATTAAGTATTGTTACCTTCTGGATATCTTCTCTCAAAACAGGTTCTAAGTTCTCCAAGGGTGTCTATCAAAGAAGTAAAATGAACAGGATGATAAAAAAGAAAAAATAGTATATATATTTGGCAAGCAAAAATTAATCAAGAAGCCAGGACCATACCTTAGTTTTATCACGTATTACAAACATCAAAGTTGTTTTGCGAGGACTAAACAATCTCATCATGACCTAGATACGAGACCAAATAGCACATGAGAGAGCTACTAAAGGCTAAAAACAGGAATAATGACAAGTAATAACAGTATATACAAGGAGTACCTGAAATACAGTCTTCAAAAGAGGCTTATTTGCAGCTTGTTCACGACCAATATCATGACACCACCTAAACAATGTAACTAGAAGATTTATTTCCAGAACTATAGCCAACAACTCATTAGGTACCCAAACAAACCTAGAGAAAAAATCTTACATGTTAATTAACACAATATCTGAAACGGCAAGGGCAAAGAGTGCACTCTGCTTCTCGAATGCTGTATCATCCTAAACAGAAGCAACATGGTCAATTAGTTTCTCATTATAATGAAAATACGCTAAAATTATTATTAAAAAAACATTATTGAAAGTTTCCCTCTCGAGCATTCTAACTTAAAAGAAATTATCTTAGTTTGGTTAAACTGACACGGATTTTTAGGAGTAAAAACTTAAGTTTCGTGCTAATGAGTTAAGTCATTGAGAAAGAAATGCACCTCTCCACGTTCTCTTCCGTCGGTTCCTTCCAAATCCATTACTAGTGTACACGGTTCAATTCCGGTACAATGTGCGAGCCAAATACCTTTTGTAGTTTGAGACCTAAAAGAGAACCATCCCACCAAGAATTCGGAATTATAGAAGATAATAAAATTAAGAGTAGAAAGATCCAAGTCATCCAACATAAATAAAAAGCAGCAAAAGAACATGCCTTCCTCTAAACGCATCCATCTCTCTGAAGTTTGTTTTGAACAAATTATTCAATAGAGTGCTCTTCCCTGTCCAATTTGCACAAAAGTAATAAAATTAGTGAAAGGTGAAGGATGGAGAGAAAGATAAACAGGTTCTTTGAAAAACATTCATACCGCTACTTTGTGGCCCCATGATCGAGACTACAGCATATGAGAGTCCACAATCCGCTAATTTAACCTCCTTTATGAAATTGTCTATTCCAGTGATATTAAATTCACCATCGCCATCAATAAGTTGTGTAGAGCAACATTCAGTAGCTAGCACAAATGAAATCCACACCGCTTAGAAACAAAAATATTGCATCCCAAAGTTGTATACATCAAACTTCAATGGAATTCAAAGTTTGCATTGAGAAAATTATTACTCCAACACAATACAAGAAAGGATAAATATTTATCTCTAAGAATTCCTAGAGTTATTATGCGGGCATGGTAGAGATAATGCAAATAAGGCAATGCATGAATCACTCTACATCCTTCCCCAAAAGTTACCAAACAGTTATTGAAATTTTCTTAAAATATCTTATTTATGAGCAAGTCACCAATGATATAGTAGGATTTCGGATAAAAAAGCATCCATCTGTAACACAAAAATGAATTCAAGAACAAATAAATACATACAACGAACAATTCCATACATCTCTCCTTCAGTAAGGATATGAGAGATGAATTAAAAGTATCTCCCTATAACACAAAGTACACATTAGCTATCAATCTCCGTCAATTATCAGCAGGACATTCTCTTGAAGAAGGACGAGGAGATTAAAAAAGATTGAGATATTACCCATCAGAGCTGGAAGGACAATGGTGAAACCTAGATAGCCGAAATCTTGAGTACAGATCGATTGATGGAGAAAGAAGATGAAATGTGGAAAAAAAGAGATCACAAAACCATAACTTGTTTCTCTAGATTTTCTTCTTTGCAAAATAATAATTGAATGAACTGAAAGTATGCTCAATTCAAACCATGTTTGAACAAAAAATGCAAACGTTTGTACCTTTTTGAGATTCTGAAAGTAAAAAAAATGGATCGAAGAAACACAAAAAAATGTGTTTATCCTTTATTTCTTTTCCTAAAAAAGAAAATTAAGAAAAAGAAAGTTTGCCAAAATAAACAATAAGTCACTTTTACTTTTGCATAAATAACCTCACAAAATGAGAGGAGTTTGTTTACAATTCTTGGGTCCAATAAAAGGGTGTTAAAGTATCATTCTTGGTAGATCTACTACTAGCTCACATTACAACAATCCACAACCAACTTCTTGGCCATTTGAATAATCTAAGTTGTTTTCTATATTTCCATGCTCACAATCAGTTCAGTGACTAGGTAGTTCTATTTTATATCCTTCCTTACTCGATGTCATCAATATTTTTCTAATTACAAACATGCACACTACAAAGACAACTTTGTCACCTATCAAAATTAATGACGGCCCAGAGACAAGGAAAATAAAACCTACCAAATACATCTAAACACATAGCTCGAATCCAAATCCTCTAACCCATCCTCGAAAATTCTGATGACATCTTGACTACCCGAATTATAGATTCCACTTTGTCAAATAATTGAAATATCGTTGTGGGATATGAGAACTTTCACGAAATTACTAGGCTAATTTAAATGCGTAACTAACTTTAACCTGAGTGTTTCAGCATCATTAGGGAGCGAGAAATGTCGTTTTGATTCAAATTTCCCAAAAACCCTGATCTTCTAATTTTTTATTCTAATCGACGAATTTTTGGTTGGGTGATAGAAGACGCAGAAGAATTTAGAGGAAGAAAATGAGTTAACTATAGCTTCAACGTCCAATCGACCACCGTGCTGGCATCCAACGATTAGCTACATCGCAAATTCAATTGGGTGTTGTAGCTTCCCTAGGTCGACGGAGGAAACAGAGGGAAGTGGAAGTGCCAAGGTAATTTCAGCAAAGGATAAAAACATAAAAAATGCGCATCCGGGGAATCGAACCCCGGTCAGTACCGTGGGAGGGTACTATGATACCACTACACTAGATGCGCCTAATTATTAATTGTCTGCAGGAATAAATTGCATATATTCAATCATTCAGTTTATCTGTTTTTTCAAATAAAGAGCGTTATAGATAGGACGGTTTCTTGATAATGATTGATAACAACGTAGTCAAAATCACATTTCAAAACTTAAAACATATGCATTTATGTTTTTAGGTCACCAAAACGCTTCTATGCATAAATACAGTTTTATGACTAATGTAATTAAAACTGCACTTTAAAGCTTAAAAGGTTATGATTTTACGTTTCTAGATCACTGAAACGCTTTTACGTAGAAACACACTTTCGACTATGATTGATAATCAAAAGATCTTTTTAACTTGTCAGTAGTTTTCATGGATTATATCTATAATATTTTTCTCTGGTTAAATAATTAGGAATAACTAGCTTCTGCCCACTCAAGTTAGGCAAGAATAGCCCTCGACCCCTTTGTCTTTAATGGTCTCGGGTGCTCATCTCAATACAGTTCTTTAGGCCTGACTCGACATAGTTCACCACGTTCATCTTCTCTTTTCGCTTTTATATTTAAAATGTTCATCTTCTCTTTCTCTTTAATATTTAAACTGTAGTCTATGATTGCTCTCCTTAAAACTCGACCGGTAGGTTTGTTCGATAGGAATGAAGTAGTTCAAACAAAGTGAGAGGTTATAATATATCCGGAAAAATTTCATTCCTTATTATTCAATAATTTTAATTTGTTTTTCATCGTTAATCATTGTTCGTCCATTTCATTAAGTTCTTCCTACGTTGCAGTCAAATGTACCATTTGATTGTTAGATAGATAATATAACAATTAAATAAGGAATAAGTTCTAGTACAAAATCCATTATATTTGATATTTATAGTACTAAAAAACAAGAAAGTTATAATTTGCGAAGGATAGATTTAGTGGTCCATATCATAAAGGGATAAGAAGGGAAATAAGAGATTAGGGGAGAGCTAACTGGAATTTTTGGGCAGCTGGCCGGAATTTTTTGGGGTTGGCGTGGATTCTCAGGCCTGCTGTTAAAAAACTTTTCAAATATTTTTTGAAAATTCAACGGAGCACAATCCATTCATCTTACATCGAATTCCAAAAAAATTGCGTAAAAATATTAGATTTTTTGTGCTCCATAAGATGATATCAATGTTAATATTTTTTGGAGAAAAACTTTTCACATCATCTTACAACTATCAAATTATGATATAATCACTCTAATAATATCACGATATGACAACGGTATGATGATGTTGTCCACCTTACCATAATGGTAAGATCAAAATAATAAGATGGGCTTATGATTGATGTGATTCCCGACCGCCAGTGTAGAAGAGGACACTCGGCCGGAATTGTCAATTCCCCGACTGGGGAAGTGGGGGAAGTGACCAGGGATTTTGATCAGGAGAGGTCCCGACCAGTGATGTTAAATCCCCAATCGGGTATTAGACCGAGAATTTGGCCCTACCGAATTATGTTACATTTTTCAGTTAGGATTCTTTTTCCTTTTTGGTGTTTTCATTAGTTTTATTTTCCATATCTATTTAAAGGGTCCTAAGACAGGAATTTGAGGGGATTATTGAGACTTCGATTATTTGGAAAAAAAACTTTTGTTCATGAGCGTCTTGCTTGTGAATTTTGTCCTTGTTTGTTGGTGGATCTCCAACATTGGAGCGAGCTCTGTATCAATCAAGTAACCAGCTTGATTGTGGTCAAGTTGCTACCCATTATATTGTCCGAGCCTCTTCCTGATTCTGTGTTGAAGTTGCACGGCAATTCCGTCTTATCCTTTACTTTTCGAGCTGTTGAGATAAAATATCAGAAAAAACCCTAAAAAGATCTAAGTTGCTCGAATTTGACCAAAGAACCTAAGTTTCACGAGCTCGAGATATTATCAATGATATTTTACCATGTTGGTATGACAGTGGTAAGATAATATGAATTCTTATCTTTGCTGGAAAAAAATGATGTTATCATATCATGATAGTATCATGTTATCATAGTGATACATCGTGATAGTGATTGTGGTTCTGAAAAGGGAAAAATAGTTTTTTTTTTTTTGCAAGAGAATAAAATCTGAAAAAAGAGTTTGTGTTGTGAAGGCAAAATTGCTTAAAGGATATGTCAAGTTGATGGTAGAAGCATTCAAAATTTGAAAATGTTTATCAATAGCTTCACCCTTACACTTTGAGACTCTAATGCATGATTATGTATTTATGCTTGGATTTGATTGCATGATGTTCTTGCACATAGATGTGGTTAGAATTCTCTCGTGATATTATTGACCTTGTAAGTTACTTATAATCCACTACCTAAGATCGAGATCGAGTGATGTTCTTTGGTTTTCACTGAGTTGTATGATTGTGAGTAGTGTTTCCTTGTAGACAAAAAAAGTTAAAGTGTGGGTATTTCTGATGACACTTTATTTATAGTGTTTATCACTCCCATTCTTGATACATTCCCCTTATATAAATGCATCATTAGTGGTTTTGATTATATTTCATATATAATTCATAACTATCTGGATAATGAGCTTATGATAGACCTTGAGTGTGGTTTTGTACTATTTGATGTCTTTTTGTGTTCTTTTGTGATTTTCAAGGAGATAATGCTCTCAAGACAAATTTGGATCACCTAGGTACCCACTGTATCAACAGGAGGACGAAAATACAAGTTCATGGGATCAAATGTAGATGGATTGGGACATTGGATGCTCACTTTATGGTCAAAACAAGCAAATCTGGTAATGCAACAGGCTCGACTTTGACCAAGGCCCATCAGATATTTTCCTACTAGTCGACGCTCTAGAGGAGGATTTACTAGGAACACAAGCTACCAATCCCAATTGGAAAATAAGAATCGGGTACTAGCAACGTAGGGTCGCCGCTCAAACCCTAATCCTTCAGGAAACTTCCTTGGCAAGTTACTCTGTCCCCAAGTCGATCGAATTCGAGTTTAAGTTGGATAAGGATGTATTTGATTGAATTTAGGAGGATAAATATTAGAAAACCCCCTTCTGAAACTAGTATAAATACGAGGCCGGGCTAGAACTTTTACACAAACATTTTACCAGCACTCTATCCTAGGGCACGAGTAGCAATCCATAGATTGATAGGAAGCAAAACTCTGCGTGAATTCTTTGAGAAAGCAGTCAACATTAATGCATGTATCAATAATGATGTTGCTCTAATTGTCTATGTATTTCTAGTATATATGTTTAGTGATGTGAAATATATTATGCTTATCTATTACTTTCTATGAGTTAATAAGATGTTATCACGTTTTATGTTATGATCATTGACACGGTCAAACACAACACCAAACTGCGACCAAGTGTAATCGCAGTCCGGGAATGCAGTAAAGTAGCAAGTTCTAATGTCAACCCGGGGTCTAGATCTACTGCATACTCCGTGATTATCTATTATCAAGGAAGAGTCACTCGGGAATGAGTCCCCCTAGCTCCTTAGTTAGGTCTCAATTGTAATTACCCTGGGTTGATCTACTGTTGATTAAACTGCGGAAGATCCGACAGTAGCTTGGAATCTCTTAAGCTGACCAAGCCCTCTCAGTCAAACTACCCGGCAGACGACTAGTCTTCACCGGAATAGAAAGCTGAGGCTATGAACACAGAACTCCACTACTGGAATTGGATTCCAGTACAAAGCAATAGATTGACTAACTCTCGTATAACCGATCCCCTACTTCCGAATGATGTACCTCTAACAACCTAATCGGATTCCATCTATCTCAGGTTGCAGCAGAAATCAAGAAAAGCTGATCAGACTTCAATTAATTCAATGAATCATGCATCATTCTATTATAATCAAACAGTATAACAATCCCAAGTCATTAAAATCAAGATCCCTAACACATGGGACTAGGGTTCTTCATACCCAAGTGAGAGAAAGTTCTACTCCATAGAGAGAGAGGGGAAAACAGAATACAAAGCAGT